TTGCTCCTCAATTGCATTCTTCAGACTCTCAAAGGACCTTGAATCCTCAACCACAAGTTCTTCTTGAATAACATCATCATCTTGGGCCAGCTCAGTCTTCAATTCTTTCACTGAACTATCATCAGCAGCAGGAGTCTCTGCTGCTGATGCTTCAACTGTGGTTGTAGTTTCAAGAATTGCTTCTTCATCTCCTTTTTCACTTGTTGCAGGTGAAGGAATAATTTTCTCAACTATTTTGTCAGCAACATCCATCAAAGGCTCTTCAGCTTGATGCTCTTCAGCTTGATGAACTTCAGCCACTGTTTCAATCAGGACTGGTTCCACTTTTGGCGCAGTTTCAGCTGCTTCAGGGTGAGGATGAGTTTCATCAAGTTCTGCAAGTGTTGATGAAGCTTCTTCTTCAGCAGCAAGGGGTTGTTGCTGAGCAGACTTGTGTTTCCTAGGGGCAGGAACAGGTGCATCTCCATCTTCTTCAGCTTCTGCTGAACTGGTGGAATCTGGACGCAAAAAAGGAACTGCTCCACCTGATGAAAAAACCGGAAATTGCTCAAGAATTTTCTCACCAGGAAATATATATACGATAGGCTTCCTTGCATTCTGAAGATCATTTTTCCAGATACAGTACTTCATAATCATTGCCAGGCAGTACTTTTCAGTCTTGATCATCAAAAAAAGGAAGTATTTCCTAATGAGATTTAATTTGTCAGCCTCTATGACTCCTTAATTGTACAGTGGATTCTTTTGGCTTCAGTAAATCAGAGAGCAATTCATGATAAGAATAATGTTGCACGCACACTTTCTATATGTGTTTATTCACTTGAATTTTGAAAAACTCACTCAAGTGATTGGCAGCATCATTAATAAAAACTTTAATTTAAAATGTTTCATACATACAGTTTGCAGAAGCAATCTTAATAATTTTTTGTCTTGCTGCTTCAGATAATTGGGAAGCCATGATGTATTTTAATCACATTTGACCTAAACAACTTCTTTGTCATAGCTTACATATGTGAGAAAAGTTACTTGATTAGCAGACATGTCATTGAATAAAATGCTCACCAAGATTTTTTTAAATATTGAAAATAAAAATGATGTAAACGATTTCCTGCATTTTGAAAAGTTGCAAATACAGTCTGCAACAGTGTTACCAAACCTTTTTGGGCCAGCAAATTTCCATAAAAGTTTTTGCAGACTGTCAAATTTTCAAATAATTTTCTGGAGACCAGCAACGTTTTTAAAATGTTTGCACACTTGAAGAAATTTTCCCTGAAGTACTTTATGGCAGGTATTGAAAAAGTTTGCTTTTTTGAAAAAAAAATTAAGTTGAGAAACAATTAAGCAGGTATAGTGGAAAATTTATTCTAAAATTAGAAAGGTGGGATTGAACAAAATTCCTCAATGAAAATTTAAAATAATTTTTTTATCACATGCAAATTTTTCCAGTGTTATTAAAAGAAAAACAAAATTTTTATCTTCCCCAAGATAATTTTAACTACAATTTTCTTGCAAAAATTTCAGATAAAGAAGTGTAATGTCCTTCATTCATAGTTTTGGGAATTTATTATCCTTGAGAAATTTTTCTGTGGACTGGCAAGCATTTCTGCATACTGTTGCCAGTCTGCAAATTGAAGTTTGGGGACTGCTGGTCTATATACTTTATTCAAAACTGAATATTATGTCACTTAATAGTTACTGCATGATGAAAGCTGATTATATAGAAATCTTTCAAATTCATGCAAATAAATATTTGTTGTTATATAATTATTCTAATAAATCAGAAATATTTTTGAGCTCAGTATATAGGAAAGGTGGAAATGTTGCCTCTTCAATGTCCTTTTCTGTTTCACCTTCATCTCAATTCCATTGCATCAAATAAGGCATTGCAAAAGCTTTTCACAAATATATAAACACTTTTGGAAGAGTTTGGAAACCAAGAATACATGAAGAGGATTCTGGATTTTGCAGAAATAACCAGCCCAAAGCTTTTGTGCTTGCCTATCTATTTTGATCAATAAGCACGTGTTCCTTTGTTGTTTTGGAAGCATATATTACAAAGCTTTCTTTCATGAATGCAAATGCTTCCTTGAAACGCAGAAGGAATAAGTCATCTGACCTGCAGGAAAACTACATTTGAATCCTCTTATAACTTATGCATTCAAAGCAGGGACGGTTGCACAATTCCTTCTGGAATATTGAGTCTATATTTGTCTCTGTCCAAACAAACGTGCTGAATTCATAAAAAGCGTGTATTTGACTTACACTGTGATTTTTGAGTGTGTGTGATGGAACCGTGGATACAGCAATAAAATCTTATTACTACAAATGCCAATACAACACATTTTTCAGTACAGTAAAACAAGCTTTTTCTCAAGTCCAGGCAAAAGCTGTTAAAAAATCTCTTATTATAAAAGACTTTCCAGCAATTTCAGTATAAAAACTATTTTGAGAAATGTTTAATAGATTCTCCAGGTGGAAATTTCCTGACTAAGGCAGACACTACCTGGATTTTCCAGTCTCAAATCTGACTGATTGTTTTTCCTGTATATAGCTGTGTTCAAAAACAAAAATATGTTTTCAAGTGGTTCGTCCATATGCATGATCATCCTCTAAATGAAGAGATTGGTACAACTCATGGAATACATGATTGAAGTTAATTTCTTTCAGGTCACTCAGCTTTCAAACAAAAATAAAAAATATGAGAGTGCCAGAAAAATATGATTCATTGTAAGGCAGGTATAGTATGCTGATGTGAACATTTTATCTATACAGTCAACCCCTGTCTAATGGACTTGATTCATGCAAGGGACAAGTCTGTTAGACAAAAAGTCCTTTACACAAATTCAATTACATAAAAAATTAAAAATTTAAATTTTCAACACTAATTTTAAACCAAAAGAAGTCTGTTTGGCGGATTTTGTCTGTTGGGCAGGAGAAAAAACTGCTTGCAGAGCTGGTCTGTTTGGCAAAAATCCCTTACACGGGAGGTCTGTTAGGCGGGGGGGCCACTGTATAGTCATTAATTACTATATACTGTAAAAGCCTGTCATGACAAATCATTAATTATAACAAACTTTTTCTGAAGTCTCCAAAAGTTTGTTTTAAAAAGATATTACTTTATTTGAAATTAATAAAAATATTTAATAATACTGAACATCTATTGTCCAATTGAATATTTTGGCAGGTCTTTGAAAATATCATTATAAAAAAAATTCTGAAGTCCCCAAAAGTTTGTTGGTGTAACAGAATTTCACTGTAATAAAAAATTGAATGTCAAAAAATTGGTTGAACTCACTGGCACTAACAGGTCTGCTGTGGTCATTGTCATCATGGGATGTGTTGACACTGGATGAAGATTCAGTGAGGATTTCATCCCCAATTCCGTCATCTTCATGCTGACTGTTTTGGTCTTGACCGTTATTGTTGTTTTTGTGTTCGGTCTTGTCCAGCATGATTTCGCGCATGTCGTTGTGCTGTGATGAGATGTCTTCATTGTCATCATCGAGGTTGCGAACGTGTTGCCAAGTGATGAGGGCGCCATAGTTGCCCTTTTGGACTTTGGCCAACTGCTCTTTGATATCTGGTTCCACATACTCTGCGACTCCCCAGTCACCAGAACTGAAATAAATTTGCATTAAGAATAAACATACACCAGTTATATATATGAATACACTGCTTGTGGGTTACTTTATTCAGAAGCATAGACTTCAACTAGCAATGTGTAAATTTTTGATCACAAAATTTTGTTCAATGAATAATGTATAAGGTTATTGGAAGGTTTCCTTGAAGAGTTTCAGAGATATTACATCCATAAATGAGGCTATAACGCAAGAATCTTGCTGTGGGTGTTATTTGGGAGTTAGGCCCAACTGGCATGGCAATGCCCTAAATGGGAAGTTGGATTCTATGTATACAGTACTATATTCCTAAATTATGTGCTGGAATATTTATATCCAGTGGGTCACTCATTGAATAACAATATACTATTCCACACCAAAATGAGATTTGTATTCAAGGGAAACAATTTGTGAAATCAGGTAAAATAATGTTTGCAAATGCTAAGTTTTTTTTACTGATTTTGAAAATTGCTTTCAAGGCTTTGAGTGCTTCCAAAAATTAAATGAAAAGTTTATTTAATCTCATTACAAATGTTACTTCTTGCAGAGACTCTTTCAAAATTCTTTACATATATACATTTTTGCAAAGCTTTCCACAGTCTTATGTGAAATATAAAATTTAAAAAAAACATGGAATGGTGACATGTACATTATATACAGAAATACTCCAGCTGATCTTACAGGACACAATTTTGCATAACCCTATTTTTTTTTTAGTCAGGTGATGTCATGCACATGAATAAAACACTGCAGCCCCATCTGATATTGCCTAATATCAGGTGACCCATTTTATTGTTTTTTGAGGGAACCCTTGAAACCATGGGGAATCAATAATGATATGCATCTCAAAATCTGTCTCCAGCATCTTCTCTCTTTAGAAAATACAATAAAACTATTGCCTGACACTTCACAGCTGTCCAGCAAAACTTTTACTTCACTTGGAAACCATATCTCATTATTTGGCACAGTACTGCACTTTTTTCTTATCCCATTTGGGTACTAAATCATTTAACCTACGAACGTACGTTCGTAGGATATGTCAAACTGTCTACCCTCCCTTCACAAAAGGCGAACTTTACTAACTTCACCTAAAGTGAAAGAAAGTATAATTGGTACAAAAAAAGAGGGGAAAAGTGGAGTGATAATGAGACTCACTGGGTTTCTGTCAGCAGAGATTCCACACTGGTTGCCTTCTTGCGTGATCCAGAGCTGAACAGGTTGACTTGCTGCTGGAACACAATTACCAGAAGCTATAATTGGTCTATATATTATATTCCCACCTCAGAATTGCCTTCAGAAAAACGATTGAGATGAGGGGAAAAAAAAGGGAAGGAAATGGCATCCAATGCCATGTCCTTGTAAGGTTCATCAGTGTACATGAAAAAGCAGGAAGTACTGCCAGCTGTACTACTTTAGAATATTATAAGACATGCCTCAACCTTGAGAGGTTCTGAAGAAATAAAAAAAATGTTTTGCAACAATTAGAATGCATATAGCAATGTATCAAAATATTCAAAACTGCATTTGGAAGTGGGGAAATAATCTCATGGCACACTTTTTGATAAAGATATCCTTTATAATAGCGTAGCCTTGCTCTAATAAGCAGTAGTAGCATTTGAAATTCTAATTTTCAAATCATAGTTTTCAATGATAAGATTACTTGATGAAAACCTTGGGAGTGCAAATATCTTAATCTACTCACGTTTCTTCAAAATCATCAAGCTGTAATTGTTGAGTGTATAAATCAACTCAATTTTGAGTTTAACATGAGTGAACTTGGGACTTGCTTTAAAACGATCTATTTTTGATATAAATTTAAAAATCTTGCCAAAAAATATTGTAATAAAAATTATTGCTTACAACAAATGTGTTCTTGTATTCATGCTTCTAGGAGAAAACATTTTATTTCAATATATTTTAAAAATGTTTTGCTATAAATAAAGCTTTCTATTCCTGGCCCTGGTGTCATCATTGTAACAAGATTTTATTGTATCACAAAGAAAGATTTATATTTAATGGTTAGACAAATGCATTTATCCTTTTTGTGGAAATCTTCACCAGAATTTGGATGTTTGGGGAAGGCCTGGAACACCAATGCAGGTTTCAAGACCTGTGTTCTTTTTTCCTTGAATAATGCCCCTGGTTAAAGTCAAAGAAGGAGTAAAAACAAGCACTTAAAAATGTCTCTTAGAAAGAAGGACGATTTTAATCATCATCTTATGCAATATTAGTTCTGTTGTGTAGTCTGCAAAATAATTTTTTCTGTTGATTCAATATTTTGTTGTTGGAAATTTATTCTAAAAAAAAAATTAGTAGCAGAGTGTGGTTTTGATCCCCAGACCTCTGGGTCCAAGATGGCTTCATTGTTGTAACAAGAATTTATTGCTTCACAGAGAAAGATTCCTGTTCCATTTATTATTAGAGTATTATCCCTTTTCAATATTCTTTCAAGATCATGCACCACTTTTTGCCAATTTAATACCACTATTCCAACAATGCAATGAAGGTACAGTATATAATGAACTACATTGAAAATTCATAAAATCTTTTTTTATCACCTCAACCTCACATTTATTTTTCCAATATTTTGGTGAAGATTCTGTGGAAATTTTTTTTTTCTGAAAGCTACTCACACATGTGCTGGTGTGTTTCCCATTATTGGAAGAAATGAGGGAATTTGTTTCTTGCACCACAGCAGCAACACTTGAGCTCAAACTGCTGGACAAACTGCCTTCTTCATTGATCACTTCCAAACTCATTCCAGGCTGCATTTTTCCGACCTGCTGTTCACTATAAAAAGACAATCGGCATTCCCTTTTTTTTTCTGCCCCCGTCGCTTTTTTTTTTTTCCTCCTGCTTTTTCCCACCCACAATTTACTCACTGAAAAAACTCTGGAAGGACATGGAAGAAATAAAANGGCATTCCCTTTTTTTTTCTGCCCCCGTCGCTTTTTTTTTTGCACTCCTGCTTTTTCCCACCCACAATTTACTCACTGAAAAAACTCTGGAAGGACATGGAAGAAATAAAATTTATTTGAATACATGCTGGGGAATGAGCAGGAAAAACGTTTTTCAGAATATCAACCTGTGTGTGAAACCATTTGCTTTTTTACTGGATTGCGGGCTGAAGTTCCTGAAGTGATAAGATTGTCAACAATTTATTGACTACCGGTCGAATCCCGTTATAACGAATACAGCTAGAAAGATTTTTTTAACGAAATCTTGATAAATATTTTAATTTATGATAATCTGAATATAAGGAAGCGTTAAAATGGAATACGACTCTTTGAAAATTCCAACAAAAAGTCAAGACATTTTTGTAATTGCTCAAAGATTTTCGAAGTTGCATCATATTTTCTGCAAACATGACAAAAATCGTTGCACAATTTAAAAGTTGATTTGCAATTAAAATGGTACTGAATTAATCCAAGGAGCATACTTTACTTTTTACTGCCCTCAAAATTTTCCACTGGAGAAACTTTTTAATTTTTATGATACATCGACTTACTTTTGCAGAGAAAATTATTTTTTAGCCAATGTTTTTCTGCACTGATTAACACTTTTCTGTTTTTCAGCAGAGAAGATGCTCAAAGTAACTTACGCTGAGAACGCTTCCAATTATTTTTTTGGCTATATGTACAACGATTTTTTGCAGAAAACGATTTTTTTGTAAGTCCATTCACGTTTTTTCAACGATACTGTATATGACTGAGATCTAAAATTAACAGTGAAAATGTTTTCATCGAATAATTTAGTAAATTCTCCAGAAAATAATTTTCAGAGAAAATAAACATTGTGAAAAAGTGATGTTGATTTTGGAGAGAGAATTTTCGGACATCAAATTATTTTCACTTCGCCCCATGAAAAAAAAAAAATCTCTGAGAAAAAAATGTCGTCACATCATCCATCGAAAGATCGCATTTAATTAAAACACTATGCATGGGAACTACATTCCATATATATGCTATAAATAATATTTTCATCACACAATAAATAAATATTCAATATTATTATGATAATAATCTTATACAAAATTCGGAACCACTATTGTTCTCGATGAGGAGATTAGGACACCTGTGCACACCACAATATAAAAGCACCGCATTCTCTCACAATCACTCGCAAAAAAAAAAAAAAAAACAGAAAAAAAAGAG